CAAGCTATTGCTTACTAAATGCTAACTACATTGGGTAAGTACAGCACAGTCCTTGCTTTGCATGGCAACAGAACAGATTTTAATTATCACAGTTTAGTTAAATAGTATCATTCCCCCAATACACAGTTCAAATTTCAGTTAGCATGGTATACGAACTGTGAGTAATTGCGTAAGTACAAGGCAGCTTTTCAGTCCACAAAATTACTATGCAAATAACAGAAGCACACCATGATTAGTGACCAAACACATCATTTCTTTTGCATTCTGTCAGTGGCGGGTCACTGGACATCTGTTATTCAGCTTATGTACAGACAATAAAACATGTATTAATAATTATGTTGCTTCCTTATCTCTATGTGACATTTACAAAAGTGGACAATAGGATTTTCCAATAAAGATAAAAGTGAAGCAAAGAAATAAAAAGTGATAATGGTGGGACTGAAGTTCAGATCAAAGGTCAACAGAGTTCTGGAAGAAATGGCTGGCTGTGGGAACATTGCCACTGCCACTGTTCAACTTCAGATGGGCAGCCAGAGGGACTTTTATGGACCTAAGAATTTATTAACATAAATGAGGAAGGAAGTTGTGATGAAAGGGATGAAGATGTTCTTGAGGAAGTGACATGGGCAAGAAATTCACATTAAAGAAACTTTCAAAGATAATTCATGACACTGAAAACACAAAGGATATAATATGGGAAGCTGATCCAAACTTGGAAAGGAGGATGACAACTTGCCACAGCATGGAAAAGATGCTCACTCCATATAGCAAGTTATACGACAAGCAGGTGGTGAGCACTTTTCAAACTACTCATGATAAGTTTTGTACAAAGAAATAAAACACTTTAATTGTCAATGTTTTTGTTTCAAATTATGGCATGATAAATATTTGGTTTACTGATTTTTAAATTTCTCTATACATTTATAAACAACAGTAAAAGAGTTTTTAATATTTTGACTAAAGTTTTCAACGATCACAAAACAATTGTAATTTTCCCCATTGATAATTAAGATCACTGTGCAGGAGTTTAGCCTGCATGGTTATTTTTACAGAACTGCACCACCATGCAAAGTGAGGATTGCCTGTATTTTACACGTATAATCTCATTTACCTCTTGATTTTCTTTCTTTTTGTTTTCTCCAGCAAGGTTGCTGCCTCCTTTTCAGCGCTAGATGGTGCCTTAAGCCCAGGTTTGCCCTATTTCTAGTAAACAGAGTGCCACCCTTCCTGAATGGGGCAGGTCCCAGAGGGGATATCCTGGTAGTGTGGGAAGGCTGGCGTAGGGGTTCATGTCCAGCGGACCTGTGGAATGAACCTCTTACACTGTGGTTCTGCTGAACACCCACACTGATTTGGCATGTCCTTTGGCTGAGTTACAGAGCGGAGTTTTCCGGGCTGAGCATGGTAGTCCCACCTCCTTTCTTTGTCTCTGGCTGTTGTAGGGGAGCCAGAGATCATCTCCCCTGCCACCCCCTGCCCTTAGCTCTTAAGTGCGCTCTTTGGCTGCATCTAGAAACCAAATTGACACCAGGCAGATTAACAAGAAAAAAGCATACACATTTTATTCATTTTACATGAACATGGGGACCTTCATAAGAGAATGAAGTCTAAAGAAATTGCCAAAGCAAGATGCTTTTATACTTTTTAGACAAAGAACAATAAATCTGAGAAGAAATGATGGGACAAAGGGGATCTGGTTAGAAGCAGGAAATTTCTAGAGGAGTCATGAGGAGATATATGGGGAGATGTAAAACTAATGGAAGATAAGGGTTATTTATATATATATATATATTCAGGTCCATGGCAGCCCTCAGTTCCCAGTTTCTGCCAATAAGGGCTCTTTTCTCACCCTGGTACGGGAGGTTGCCCCTTCCAGAGGAATCTTTATGGCTTTATGCATGCAGGAAGAGACAGGTCAGCTAGCCCCCTTTCTGAAGCTGCAATTTCTCCCATATTTTCAAGTTGAAATAATCAGTATACCAATTTGGCATATTTTGGGATGGCACATCTTTTCCTCCTTCACTGTCCTGTGAAGCAGTGGTTCCCAACCTTTTTGGCACCACAGACCGGTTTCAGGGAAGACAATTTTTCCACGGACCAGGGCGGGAAGTGGGGGGATGGTTTCAGGATGATTCAAGAGCATTATATTTATTGTGCAGTCAAACCTCTTTGTTAATGATAATCTGTATTTGCAGCTGCTCCCCAGTACCAGCATCACTGCTCCAGCTCCACCTCAGACCATCAGGCATTAGACTCTCATAAGCAGCCAGAACCTAGATCCCTCACATGCGCAGTTTACAGTAGGGTTCGAGTTCCTATGAGAATCTAATGCCATTGCTGATCTGGCAGGAGGCGGAGCTCAGATGGTTATGTGAGTGATGGGGAGCAGCTGTAGATACAGATGAAGCTTTGTCCACGGCTCACCTCCTGCTGTGTGGCTTGGTTCCTAAAAGGCCACGGACTGCTACCAGTCAGCCCACAGGTTGGGGGCTGCAGCTGTGAAGGACTCACCCTTCAGATACTCTTGATGCTTCCCATGAGTTAAGGCAGAGACAGGTCTCCTGCCTGGGAATCCAAGATGGTGGGGAAGCTGATTGTTCACCTCCATCTCACTTTTTCCAGTGTAGAAACCACGAGCTGGAGGAAAATTTTTCTACACATGATTGGTGCAAGGCAGATTGTGGGGAGAGAAATTCTCTTACCATCTACTTGGTTTTTTCACTTCTCTGTGGCACTGGGAACTATCTCATCCTCATATTTGAGTTCACCTACTCTGAATTTCTTGTGCAAGATAATAAGAGCCTTATCATTTAGCGACCGTGGATCAGATATTCTACTACTTGTGGCAGAAAGCATTTCCAGATGACATATTTTGTATTGTGCCTCCACTCTTGTTTTCAACTGGATCTTTATTCTGGTCTCAGGCTTTCAAATATCACAGACCAGTTTTTTTTTAATTTGAAGATCAACATTAGGTTTTTGACTTATAATTTTTCCCTTAATCTTATGGTATAGAGGCATTAGAAAAAAACTACCATCTAAAAACTCCCATCTACTACTAAACGCTCAGAATAAAGTACAGTTCTTTAAATTAAATACTTTGGGTTTTATGAAAAACTCACTGCTTTATTCCAACTTTTCCAGTTTTGTTTAAGATCCATAAAAACTTTATAACAGAAATATGAAAGAGTCCATGTTATATATGACAAAGAAAAATATTAATACATAAATATTCATGGCCTCTTTTCTGTTCCCAGACATATTCCCCTCCCTTTCCAAATTTTCTTTGGACATATTATGAAATTAGAGTAATAATCAGCGAGGTTAAGAATTTAAGAAGCAGAAGCTAGGAAAAATAGTGAAATTTTTCTCCTTTTTCCCCCCTTAATTTTAAAATTTTTTGTAGAGATGGGTCTCAAACTCCTGACCTCAAGCAATCCTCCCACCTTGGCCTCCCAAAGTGCTGGAATTACAGGCATGAGACACCATACCTGGCAAGAATTTCTTTTAAAAAGGTAGAGAATTCTCTCTTTCAAAAAAGCTTAGATGGAGGAGAACGTGGAGAAGCATGCTTAGGTTTGAAGGAGTTGGAATATAAAGCATATAAGAGAAATTTAAAATGATAAAAGATGAGGAAAAAGGAGTTTTAGGAAATTTGATGTACACTGTGTGTGTCTCCCCTACAGTACCTTCTTGAGAATCTGATGCACAGATTTAAATCTTTCAATTATTTTTTTCTTCTGGACTTTTATCTCTTATTTTATTTCTTAAAAATAAATTTCATTGTGCACATTTAAGGTCTACAACATGATGGTACGGGATACATATAGACAGGAACAAGGTTACTATAGTGACGCAAATTAACATATTCATCATCTCACATAGTTTACCCCCCCTTTTTTGCGGCAAGTGCAGCTAAAATTTACTCATTTGGTGTGAATCCCATATACAGAACAATTTGATTGCTAATGGACTTGTATTCTCTTTGAGTGTGATTCTGTGTAGGACCAAATTACAAGGCAGCTGGGCCTTATTAAGTGTTGCTTATGACTGTTATGCGAATCAGAGAGGAAGAGGCAGTATGGTATAGTGGTTAGCGCGGGAGGGGTCTGGAATCAGAAGCCCTTTGTTTGAATCCTGGCCCCAGTCTTTTTCCCGATCCTTTTTCTGTGTGTCCATCAAAAAATTACTGTACTGCTCTGGGCCTCATTTCTCTATCCATGAAAGGGAGATAACAGTACCCAACTCGCTGGACGGTTGGAAGGATTATATGACTTAATACATATAAGGTACTTAGGACAGTGCCTGGCTATCGAAAGCCCTCCGTTGTTAGCTAGTAATAAAACAGAAATCTACACATCATCTCTCACCTGCTTAAACCAAACAAACTAAAAACACCTTCCGTGGCTCACCGTTCCTAAACTTCTTGGCATGGCACCCTTCAAACCTGACCTCGAATCGTAGGGGCAGGCTTAGCAGCGGCCTTCCCTCGGATGGCCGGAGCCCCATCCCGCGCGCTCCTGGCGCCTCGCCGCAGCTGGCTCGCGGTCCAGGCTCCCTCCCTCGTTCTCAGCATCCTCTTCGGCGTATACAGACCTTCCCAGGCCCCTCCCAGCGCTCCCGGCTCTTCGAACCTCCACTTGAGCTGCTCTCAGGTTGGGTGTTGTAACTGCCTCTCGGATCTGACTCGCCGGCCCGTCCTAGATGCTAAAGTAAAGTGGACATAAAGGAAAATGCTGTACCTTCTCCCGAAAATACTAAACGGGAGGCTCTGGTGGGGGAGGAGACTTGGTTGGCAGGTAATGTCCTTCCACCCTGAGACGAGTTGCCCCGGTGCCCGGCTGGCCACGCCGCCAGGGCGTGGGTTGGAGTTCCCCTGCCAGGACCCCGCAGGCTTTCAGCCTAGCCCAGGGCACCCGCGGTCACGTGACGCCTCCGGCACAGCTGGAGGCGGGTCCCCGCCCTCCCCCCGGGAGCCCGGCGTTGGGGAGGGCGCGGTGCATTGTGGGCAGAGGGGCGGGGGTTGGGAAGATGGCGGCTCCCAGCCTCCTCAACTGGAGGCGGGTTTCCTCCTTCACCGGGCCGGTCCCCCGCGCCCGACACGGACACCGGGCCGTGGCAATCCGGGAGCTGATGATCATATTTGGAGGGGGCAACGAGGGCATCGCGGACGAGCTGCACGTCTACAACACCGGTAGGCGCGGCGGCGGCTCGTCGGCACCGCCTGCGGGAGCCGCGGAGGGGGAGGGGAGGCGAGGCGGCGGCCGCGGCCCTGACAGCTGTCACCGCCCGGTCATTGCTTTCTGGGGCGGCGGGGAGCGCGGATTGTCAGGACGGCACAGGTCCCGCAGTGTCCGGGACGGCAGCTCCGTTTCCCCGGGGCCCGCGGGGCAGAACGGATCCCGAGCCGGGCGCCCTGGTCCTCAGACGGGCGGTCCGAGACGCCCCCGCCCCAGTCTTGCTGGCGGACGTAGCAAGAGAGAGACTGTTTCCACCCGGCTGGTCTATTCCCCCGAAGTCTCCTCAGTCCGAGGTCCCAAGATCCCTCCCCTGTCAAAAAACAAAACCCATTCCAAACCAAAGCTCCTTCGGGCCTTTCCCGTCTTTGCCTGCCTTCCTTCTTTCCTTCCTTCCTTAGGAGGAAAAGAATCTAGAGGGGCGAGGAGGGAAAATGAGAGGCCTTCTCATACTTTCACCACAAATACAGCCCGTATCGAGCAGGTAGCGATCGAAATTTTCCCCATTGGTAGCCCTCTGAACTGGCGGGGAAGTGTGTGAGACCGGCCTCGTTTCTGCATAGTTGGTGTGTGTGCCGACGCTCAGCCGTGCAGCGCTCTTCTGGACTGGTCCTCGGAAAGAGGAGTGTCATAACTTGAGCACCACTACAAATCTTAAGTGCCTCTGGCCACGGAGCTCTGCCTTTGAGTACCTCAGTGTAATAGGAAGGAGATAGGAATTTCATTTTTCCCACTTGTAAATAAATACTCCAGCTGTAACAAGAAATCTCTTTCCTTGTTGTAAGGCTGATTACCGAACTTTGGGTCTACTTCATGACCACTAACTTATGTTTGATCAAACAACTCCATCACAGTCATCATTTAAAGGTTAACAAAATAGTGGAGTCGGAAACTTTTATTTTTTCACCCTCTCCTCCTCCCAGTGCCCCAGCATATGAAGCTAAAAAGTTATCAACAGTTTAACATAGTGTAAAATTCCTGGCTGTGGAACACATTAGACTTGGTTTGAATCTTGCTCTGCCAGTTGCCAGGGTCAGCGCTAAAGTTACCAAACCTTTTTAAGTCTCAGATTTTTCAGTTGTAAAATGGAGATGATGATATCTGGTAGGGTTTTTGTAAAAATTGAATGATATGGATCAGGGTATTTCAACAGCAGCACTATTGACATTTTGGGCCATGTAATTCTTTGTTGGAGGGGGGGAGAGCGGAGGCTCCCTCTTATTGCCCTGTACATTGTAAGATGTTTGGCAGCATCCCTGGCCTTTACTCACTAGGTGCCAGCTAACCTCCCTCCCATCCCCTGCCTCCTCCTCCCCCGCCTCCCCGCCAGTTGTGACAATTAACGATGTCACCAGACATTGCCAAATGTCCACTGGAGGGTATAATCATCCCCAGTTGAAAACCACTGATACTGATGATACGTATAAAGTACATACTCATAGTATATAATAACCATTGTTTGTTATAATTGGTTTTAATTTTATTTTGGCAACTAGTTACAAATCAGTGGTTCCTACCAGCTGTTAGAGGAGACATCCCTCCAGGCTGTGCTGCCCATGGATTTGTCTGTGATGGTACCAGAATTTTAGTATTTGGGGGAATGGTTGAATATGGAAGATACAGCAATGAGTTATATGAGTTACAAGTAAGTGTATTTAAATTTTATTATTTCAACCTGAGGTTTTAATAATGAAATTGCTCATAATTCTTCAAAAGATTGCAAAATATTTCATTAACATAGTTAAAATAGCATGAGCTTCACACTTTATAGCTTCAAAGAAAATTTTTTCACTTCATTTAAAAGTCAAAGTTTCTAATGTGAGTCTTTTCCCCCTACCCAGTAATATTTGTAACATCAAGATATCCGCTACTTAGCATCAGTTGTACATGTTATATGTTTAGTTTTTTGTGTCTTAGTGCAGTAGTTCTTCAGCTTTAGCTTGCAACAGAAGCAGCTGGAGGACTTGTGAAAAGAGTGCTGGGGCCTGCTCCCAGAGTTTCTGAGTCAGTATTATCTGCAGTGGGGACATGAGCGTTTGCATTTCTACCAAGTTCCCAGCTGATGCTGCTGGTTCCCAGACTATACTTTGAAAACCACTGCTTTAGTGTATAGAAATTGTTGCCCTCACGCTAATAATTACTTTTCTCCCCCCTGGCAATACCTACAAAAGAAGAGTAACCATTTCATATAACCTTTCTAAATTTGACTCCTATAAAACCAGACTCATACCCCTAGTTGACACTTCTTGATTGGTGCATATTTCCCCAGGGCAGAGATCATGAGGGTGTCTGCTAATTGGCAGATGTGGATGTGTTATACCTATTTACAAGCAACTTGTTTCAAAAATAGTTTCAGCTAAAGAAAACACCCATGGCTAGAGAATAAGTTTTGGAGATTGATTTGTTAAATGAGCTTTATGTTTATTTAAAGGTTAACATATTTGGCATTCATGAATTAACTAATTTCAGAAAGAGAGAATATATTAATTACATTTAATATTAAACTTATGTATGATACTTAATTTTTCATTTGGACAATACTTTAGAACTGTTAGCATTTATTATTATAAGCTTAGTCTGCCATTGTGGAAATCTGTGAGTATAAAAGACTAACCTGAATTTCTATTGGAATTTCTTCTATTCCAGAAGTTAGTTGCTTACTTGTCATTTGTCCCCAGAGTTGTTTATTAGAACCTTCTGGTAGGATTCAGATTAAAATATATTGATATAATATTGGATCATTGACAATACAGGAATGCTTTCCTGATCTTGTCTGAGTATATTTATGCTCTTTTTTAGGCAAGTCGTTGGTTATGGAAAAAAGTGAAGCCCCATCCCCCTTGCTCTGGTTTACCTCCTTGTCCTCGGCTGGGACATAGCTTCTCTTTATATGGTAACAAATGCTATTTGTTTGGTGGCCTGGCAAATGAAAGTGAAGATTCAAACAATAATGTTCCCAGGTATGCTGACTTTTTCAGACCAAATCCTTATCTTATGATTTAGATTAGGAATATTTTATTTCTTCCATCTTTAATTATTAGAAGAGATGAAGCTTAGCCTTCTTCATTTAAACCTAACAGTGAACACATTTGTGTGTTTTTGTGTTTTCCTTAGTCCCTGGAGTATACTGTTTTCAAAACTATGCGTTTTCTAATTAGATATCATCTTGTTAAATTGGTATTAATATAACTGCTTGTATCAGTATATTTGTATATATTGAGCCATAAGGTATTTTAGCTAAGTCATAAATGGCAATGAAAAGCAACAGATGCATTTTTTTTTTTTAAGACAGAGTCTTGCTTTGCTGCCCAAGCTAGAGTGTAGTGGCGCCATCATAACTCACTGCAACCTCAAACTCCTGGGCTCGTGCATACTCCTGCCTCATCCTCCAGAGTAGCTGGGACTACCTACAGGCCCGCACCACCACATCTGGCTAATTTTTCTATATTTTGTAGATATAGGGTCTCACTCTTGCTCAAGCTGGTCTTGAACTCTCGAGCTTAAGTGATCCTCCCACCTCAGTCTCCCAGAGTGCTTGGATTACAGACGTTAGCCACCATGCTGGCTAACAGATGAATATTTTAAAATTAGGTTTCTCTGGGAATTTGGTGACAAAAATCTGACTATAAGATGAAGACTATCATTTCCATGTTTTATACAGAAGCTGTTAGAGTGTTTTACATTACCAGATATTTGTAGAATAAATTTCTTCCTCCTTTTTCCAAATCGAATTAACCCACTACCTGTTTTCTTCACATGGTGAGTTTTTTGTTTGTTTATTTTTGTTTTTGTTTTGAGTTCTAATAAACTTTTATAAAACAGCCAGTAGGCAGATTTGATTCACAGGGTGTATGTAGGTTGCTGACAGGGGTTGTAGATAATGGGGATATATACATTGCTGACCCCTATTGTAGATAATATTGGTTTTGTTTGCAAAGAACCCCTTATTCCTTTGGGGAATTGTCCTGTGTAGTTATTTTTTTCCAAATCGAATTAACCCACTACCTGTTTTCTTCACATAGTGAGTTTTTTGTTTATTTTTGTTTTTGTTTTGAGTTCTAATAAACCTTTACAAAACAGCCAGTAGGCAGATTTGATTCACAGGGTGTATGTAGGTTGCTGACAGGGGTTGTAGATAATGGGGATATATACATTGCTGACCCCTATTGTAGATAATATTGGTTTTGTTTGCAAAGAACCCCTTATTCCTTTGGGGAATTGTCCTGTGTAGTTATTTTTTTTAAATACATTTTATTGTGTATATTTATATAGGATGATGTCATAAGATACATATGTAGTAAAATAGTTACCATAGTGGTAACATAGCCATCATTTCACATAGTTACTTATTTCTCCCCCCCCCACTCCCCCATGAGCAGCTATAGTTTACTCGTTTAGTAAAAATCCTGAATACAGTGCACGGTTATTAACTATAGTCCTCATGTTGTACGTTAGATCTTCCATTTGTTTATCCTACTTATTTGCTACTTTGTATCCTTTGACCTACATTTCCTTCTCTCCACCCAAACCCTGGTAACCACTGTTTTATTCTCTATTTCTATATAATATTCACATAGTGTTTTGATCACATTGTCATTATAGCACTCAGGCTTTGGAGATTTAGAGTCCAAAGTGCTATTTTCTGATTCAGGGCTTACCGTGTGTATCTTTTAGAGTAAGTTATCTAAGCCTGTTTCCTTCACTTTGAAATGGAAGTGATTATGTCTGCAGCCACACCGCCCTGAGCGCTCCCGATCCCATCTGAAATGGGAGTGATTAAATATTTATCTTACAGCATCATTGTGATAGCTAAGTAAGATCATTGGTATAATTTTCAAAAGACTTTCAAGTTGCCATAGCATATAGTATACTAGTTGTTATCACCATTATTTTTACCTATATTAGATTGACGGTGGGGTCTTAGCTTTTTTTTTTTCCCCCAAACTTTTAAAAATAACAGATATACCGAAACATCATAGAAAATTTAGAAACTGGAGAAAAGGAAAAAAAGTTATCTCACCACAGTAATTCAGATACTTTTGCTTTTAGCATATGTAATTTTTAAAATGTTCCCATTAAGGAGGTTTTTAAAATAATACTTGTAAAAATTAAAGAAATTAGAAAGTATACAATGTTTTTACAACATCACTGTCCCCCATCATAGGCAAATACACATAATTCAATTTGATGTGCATCTTTTGGGACCTTTCTCATGTAACACATTGCATTAGTCAGCTTTTATTAGGTTATTGTGAATAATGGGGCAAGCTTCTCAAGGTTATGCTGCTTGAGGGGGCAAGTAAGTACATACAAACGCCTTTTTTCAAAGCTAGTTCTGGTCACATTCCATTGGTCAAAGCAAGCCATATGGCCAAGGACAGAATCATTCATTGCTCCAGAAATACACACTCTGCTTACCGGGAGAGAGGAATTGGAAACGTTCATCCAATCCTCCACACAGACATATCTATTTTCTTTTATATAAGTGAAATCTCTTTCTTTTTTTCTTAGCAACTTTGAGTGTTTGCTTATTTGTTTATTTTTATTCTTTTATGTGTTT